TTCCCTTCCCTTCCCTTCCCTTCCCTTCCCTTCCCTTCCCTTCCCTTCCCCTCCCTTCCCATTAGTGCTGTAAGTTATGCTCTAAAGCCTGCAAGTTGGATGACTTTGTCTAACTTTACTCCCTTCCAAAAGACATTGCAGAAACCTGTGGAAGTTTCTATTGCTTGTAACACAGGAATAATGTTTATGAAATGAGAATTTAATTTTAATTTATTTCTTTTATTTCACACTCTATATTCTTATTCCCCAGTTGCAGGAGGGTTTTGGTTGGGAGCCATTCATCCACCTCTTCTCTGACTACCAGAAAATGTCCTCTATCCCAAAGGACAACTCTTCTAAGATGAATCTGTGGGCACAAAAGTTTTCTCAGCAGGTGAACAGAAACCTGGCTCCTTTTTTTATGAGCTGGGGGTGGCCTATCAAGACAGAGCTGTGTATGGAACTGTCGTCTTTACCCAGCTGGGAAGAGGACCCAATGAAGTCATACAGACCATGAAGGAAGTGCACCTGGCTCCTGGTCCTCAGAAACTACAGCTTGCCATTTTCTCCTTGTATGCTGCATGTTATGTTTGCTAAGTATTTAGCTTTACCCTGAAATCCTTGACTTTTAGCTGTCTTAGGATGGAAGCCAATCCTGGCAGAAATTCAGCAGAAACCATTAATTGCCTTCAGAATGTTCTATTCTTCTTTTATGTTCTCAGGAATGCAAGATCATCAGTACTGATTTGATTACCTGTAAAATGCAAAATCTTTTAAGTATGCAGAACTTCTAGACCTACTATCATGAAATTAAGTGACTTTATGTACAGAGGCTGCTTAGCAGATACAGAAACACTGTTAATTTCTTCCTGCTTTATAATGCTATGTGGCTAAAGGTCCAGTTTTATCTGAAACAATTCAATGATGAGTTATACCTGTCAACACTCACCTTAGTCTGTGAGCAAAATACTGTGAGCAAACCATGCAAGGTGGGAGAGCAGAAACTAAGACCAAGAGGTGAGTTTATTGTAACTGTAGTCAGTAAGGGTTTAACATGGGGACTCGTTAAGGTTTTACGAAAGCAGGTATTGAGCTGAGGGAGCATGAGGGAGTAGAGAGGAGAAAGGGAGAAGCTCAGCAAGGTGGAGGATCGGCCAGTTCCAGGGAGCAATGGAAGTTAACACTTCCCGCACCTTGCTGAGGATTGCGTGACTAGTAGCACACACTGGTGGCCATGCTAGGGCTAGTGAGCATGTTAGTGCCTAAGAGCATGTTGGTCCCGTATCAGCAACGAATAAGACAATTGTAGTGATTTGAAGGCGACATTAACCTTAAATTGACCTTCGCAAAAATAAAAGCAGCAGCAGAAGACTTTCTTGCTCTAATTAATTCCAAGAATGAATAGGTTTGCTGGTGAGGTTTTCAGACTTAAAGGCTTTGTTTTTACAGTTGGTTTACTTGTAATGAAAGGTTGCCTGCTAGTGCTGAAAACTCCCTTCTGCTAGACAAGAGCAGTAAGCTGTGGCTTTTCCTCATAGTAAAGCATTCAGTAGCATTGAATGATTTGATAATCGGTTAAAGCCCTGTGCAGCTCCTTGGGTTCTGTTCCTTTTAGTTTCACAGCACTTACAGAACTAGAGAAATATGTGCCCTCTAATTCTCCAGTAGCAACTGTGGAAGTAACCCACACATGCAAATAGATAAAATAGGATTAATCTTACTTAATCCAATCTTCCTTTAGGGCCAGTGCAGAGAAGGAGTTACCTACAGGGGCAGTTCAGTTCTTCCTAAGGTGACACATGAATTGCCCTTTGAAGGTGCCTGTTCCTCTCCAGTGGCTCTGAAAGGAGTCTTTGTGAGCAGCTCAGATGGGGATGGTTGATTCTGAGATGAATTAGGTAAGGTGAGATGAATCATCCCCTTAGCATGAAAGGAAGTGAATTTAAATGTGTGGCAGAGACATATATAATGTTTAAGTGCTTCTCTGAGGTGTTTGGTGCTATCTGCACTTGCCTTAGGGACTTGAATACTCTTCGCAATCCCAGTCCTCTATAGTTCACAGTATAACAATGCCAAAACCTGAACGTACATGAGAAAGACATGTACAGGAAAAGCTACATGCCCACAAGAATGGGGAATGATGGCTGGAGAGGATGCAGGATTGAAGGTGGCAATTGAAAATATGAAATACAGGTTTGTTACTGCCAAAGCTGAGCTGAAGTTTAAACTCAGTAGAACAATGGGATACTAGAGATTCAGGGAGCTCTGTGGGAGTGGGATTAAAAACTGAGTGACTTAATACTTCATCATAAGCCTAACACTTTAATACTTCATCATACTAAGGCTAGACAAGGAAGAAGAGAAGCCCATTGCCCTTGGAGAAAGTTTAGACAGTTATATAGAACTGTGGTGAGCATAAATTATGTGAGTGAACTGAACAGGACACAGTACTGCCTAAGTAGAGCTCTTTTGGGACACAGCAAGAGGGGGGTGCTTTACTTTGTAATCACACCAAATGATAGCATCATTTTAAGCTTAAGCTACCTTTCATAGTAGTGAGCAAAATGCTATCCAAAATAAAGATAATTCATCAATGGTATAAAGAGAATGAATTGTAGTAATGTCTTTTTTCTTTTCTGAAAACTGAACGCTACAGGACAGATTACATGACACACTTTTTGGTAGTTCTTATTGCTTATAAACTGCAGACTTTCATGAAACTAATCCAAAAACACTACTTAGATGAGACTTCTTTTCAGTAAAGGCTTAAATTAATTGCATTCTTAAGTATTTGATATTATTTTGTTGTGTGCAATGTTTCTCTACCTTCCATTTTACATCTACTTTAAAATTGGTTAAAAGCAGAGAACTTCAGACTGAAGGTCTGAACTGCATTATTCTGCATTTGCTTCTACAGTAAAAAAAAATCCACTGTGACGCTAAATTAAATCCTGAATTGCTAATAATTTAAAATGTGTGCCTGCATAGAGTAGGAAGAATGGGTGTCAATTTATTGAACCTTGTATAATTACAAGATACTTATTATGGATTACATTTAAAGGGACAGCCCATTCACCCAAGCCAAAATTGCTGTGCAGTGTCATTTGGGAATAAAGATGTTCCAGTCTCCACCTAGACCTTAACCACAACAACCAAGGGAAAAGACAAATTCAGCGTTTCCAGAAGCCAGAGCAAGATCAGTTGTCTGTGTAAAGAATTTCACTGTTGCCTTCTGAAGAAGGATTAAGATGTTACAGTTAATAATAAACACTAAGAATTTTAAAATTCTTTAAAAAAAGAAGATGGTGCCAAAGAGAGAGGACCAGAGACAAGCTGCAAGGTATGCCTGAAGGGTTCATTCAAGAAACAAAATAATAAATGATATTCTGGCAGGGGCTTGCTCATCTTTGTAATCCAGTGAATATGCTGTTGGCATTCCTAGCTGCAGGTCATATGCTCTGTACTAATTTAACAGCTCACTGTTCACTAATTCTTGTCTTGAGTGGTCATGCATTCCATTTCCTATAGCTTAGCATGGATTCTGCATATTTTCCAGTGGTAAAGGTCTAACACTACTGCATAGTCATTACGTAACTGATCTCTGGTTCATACCCCAGAGGGCTGTGCTGCCATTGAGGGACCTGGACAGGCTGGAGAGCTGCACAGAGAGGAACCTCATGAGGTTCAACAAGGGCAAGTGCAGAGTCCTGCACCTAGGCAGGAATAACTCCAGGCACCAGGACAGGTTGGAGATTGATCTGCTGGAGAGCAGCTCCGCAGAGAAGGATTTGGGCATCCTGGCAGACTGCAGGCTGACCATGAGCCAGCAATGTGCCCTTGTGGCCAAGGAGGCCAATGGGATCCTGGTGCATGTTAGGAACAGTGCTGCCAACAGGTCAAGGGAGGTGATCCCTCCCCTTTGCTCAGACCTGGTGAAGCCACATCTAGAGCACAGTGTCTGGTTTTGGGCTCCCGACTACAAAATAGACATGGAAATACCGGAGAGAGCCCAGCATAGGGCTGCAAAATTAATTAGGTGAACTGCAGCATCTCTCATATGAGAAGAGGCTGAGAGCGCTGGGCCTGTTTAGCCTAAAGAAGAGAGGACTAACAGAGGTTATAATATATCATAGAATCATAGAATCATAAAATACTTAAGGTTGGAAGGGACCTCAGAGGTCATGTAGTCCAACTCCCCTTGCTCACGCAGGATCACCTAGAGCACGTGGCACAGGGCTGCATCCAAGCGGGTTTTAAAGATCTCCAAAGAAGGAGACTCCACAACCTCTCTGGGCAGCCTGTGCCAGGGCTCTGACACCTTCATTGTCAAGAACTGTTTCCTTAAGTTCCTGTGGAACTTTTGGTGCCTCAGCTTGTGGCCATTTCCTCTAGTCCTATCGCTGGCCACCACTGAAAAGAGGCCGCCCCCTCCTCCTCACTGCCTCCCTTGAGGTATCTATAGACACTGATCAGGTCCCCCCTCAGCCTTCTCTTCTCCAGGCTGAACAGGCCCAGCTCCCTCAGCCTTTGCTCACAGGGCAGATGTTCCAGGCCCCTGATCATCCTTGTAGCCCTGCGCTGGACTCTCTCCAGCAGCTCCACATCCCTCTTGTCCTGGGGAGCCCAGAATTGGACACAGTCTCCAGATGTGGCCTCACCAGGGCTGTGTAGAGGGGGACGATCACCTCCTTCTATATCTTATATTATAATAATATGATAATATGAGTCTGTGAGCTCATAGAATTCCACAAACTGATATGAGCCAGTTCTGATGCATGTGTAACAGAATGGAGTGGGAGGCCCAGGGCTACAGGCAAAAGTTTCTGAACTTTAGAAAAAAAAGCAGCTTTTTTTTTGAGTCAGTTGTGATCTCAGCATAGTGTAGAGGTCAGTCCTACATGGCATGTACCATTTCTGCATGGTATGCTAAACCACAGGCTTTAGATGACCTCTGATCATTGACAATTGCTGTTGTTTTTTAATTTATTCAAATCTGCCTTTCAGTTTTGCTGGTGCAATACTTCATTCAGTAGTATCAACGGTGAATTGAAGATACAAAGCACATGCATTAGGGGGCATGAATTTTGGGTGGGGTGGATTGAGGAGTTCTGTTCTTATAAGCAGAGAGAAACTGTTAAGTAATTATATCAAATTTACATGTGACACGTAAAAAAAAAAAAAAAAGTAACTGTCAAGCCTGTAAGCGCAGCAGAGACCTTCAGGATAAAGCACTTGTTTAAGCATTTGTTTTCTTAATATGAATATTAGAATTGTAAGTTTGTTGAATAGTTTTACAATGTTAAAGGGCTTCTTTGATCTCTAAGTAAGCACCTTGAATCTGTCAGATTTATTAAAAAAAAAAAAAGATAGAAAAATATCCTGGGAGAAGAATAGTAACTATGAAAGATTTTGCAAAGAATGCAGGTAGAGTGAGTCTAAACTTCTACACAAACTTCTCTTTTCTTCTGATGATAGCTGCAAGAGTCCTTTCAATGAAAAGCCTTAATTGAAATGTTTTCTGAATC